TTCGACACACTAGCCGAGGTGGTCAGAAGAGCTCACATGGGGGCAGCAAAGTTACTAGTTATGGGTGATTTCAATCACAAGGAGATTGACTGGGAAAACCTGGAGCCACATGGGGATCCCAAAACATGGAGAGCCAAGATGATGGATGTGGTACTTGAAGATCTCATGCATCAACATGCTAGAGACACTATCAGAGAGAAAGGTGAGAATGATCCAGCAAGACTGGACCTTTTATTCACCTTGAGTAGTTCGGACATCGAGGATAGCACGTATGAAAGGTCCGTAGGAGCTAGTGATCATGTGGTTCTGTGCTTTGACTACATAGTTAAGTTACAAGTGCAGAGAGTAGCAGGAATAGGATGGGAAAAAACAAACTACAAAAGGGGGGACTACTCAGGCATGAGGAACTTCCTGCAAGACGTTCAGTGGGAGAGAGAACTGACAGGAAAAGCAGTACAAGAAATGATGGACTATGTGACAGCAAAATGCAAGGAGGCAGAGGAGAGGTTTGTTCCCAATTGAAAGAGAAATAATGGGAAGACCAGAATGAGTCCTTGGTTCACCCAAAGGTGTAGGAGGCAAAAACTAGGTGTACTAAAGAATGGAAAAGGTACAGAAGACAAAGGACCAGGAAAATAAAGAGATTAGCCAAAGAGCCAGAAACAAATATGCACAGATAAGAAGGGAGGCTCAGCGACAATATGAAAATGACATAGAATCGAAAGTCAAGTCTGACCCGAAGCTGCTGTATAGCCACATCAGGAGGAAAACAACAGTCAAGGACCAGGTAATCAGACTGAGGAAGGATGATGGGGAGTTCACAAGAAACGACCAAGAGGTATGTGAGGAGCTCAACACTAGATTTAAAAAAGTATAGGTATATACAGTGGAAACTGATAGGACTTCAGGATTTCAGAACAGGGAGGTACACCAACAAGTGCTGGATGAGGTACACATAACCAAGGAGGAGGTGAAGAAGCTACTATGTGTACTTGACACCTCAAAGGCAGTGGGACTAGACAACATCTCTCTGTGGGTCGTTAGGGAGCAGAGATGCTCTTTGTGCCACTAACAAAGATCTTCAACACATCCATTGAAACTGGGCAACTCCCGAGGAATGGGAGATGGCAAATGTAGTCCCAATTTTTAGAAAAGGAGACAGACATGAAGCATTAAACTACAGACCTGTGCCACTAACGTGTATAAGTATGCAAAGTCATGGAGAAAACCGTCAGGAGGAGAGTGGTGGAGCGCCTGGAAAGAAACAAGTGTATAATCGACAACCAGCACGGTTTCGGGGAAGGAAAATCCTGTGTCACAAACCTACTGGAGTTTTATGACAAGGTGACAGAAGTAAGACAAGAGAGAGAGGGGTGGATAGACTGCATTTTCTTGGACTGTGAGAAGGCCTTCGACACAGTTCCTAACAAGGGGTTACTGCAAAAGCTAGAGGATCAGGCACACAAAACAGGAAATGAACTACAATGGATCAGAGAATACCTGACAGGGAGGCAACAACGAGTCATGGTACGTGACGAGGTGTCAGAGTGGGCGCCTGTGACAAGCGGGGTTCCACAGGGGTCAGTCCTAGGACCTTGCTATTTGTGGTATATGTGAATGACATAACAGAAGAGATAGACTAAGAAGTGTCCTTGTTTGCAGATGATATGAAGTTAATGAGGAGAATCAAATCGGTCGAGGATCAGGCAGGACTACAAAGAGACCTGGAAAGGCTACAAGCCTGGTCCAGCAAATAGCTCCATGAATTTTACCTGCCAAATGCAAAGTCATGAAGATTTGGGAAGGGTAAAGAAGACTGCAGACACAGTATAGTTTAGGTGGCCAAAGATTGCAAACCTCATTCAAGAAAAAAGATCTTGGGGTGAGTATAACACCGAGCACATCCCAGCCACAGCCCGGCTGGTCAGGTAGTGACTTTAGGTGATTGTCCAGCGCCTTCTTGATGAGGCGCACATCAATCAGATAACTGCTGCAGCGTACGAGCGTCTAGCAAACCTAAGGATAGCGTTCCGATACCTCAGTAAGGAATCGTTCAAGACACTGTACACCATTTACGTCAGGCCCATACTGGAGTATGCAGCACCAGTTTGGAATTCACACCTGGTCAAGCACGTCAAGTAATTAGAGAAAGTGCAAAGGTTTGCAACAAGACTAGTCCCAGAGCTAAGGGGATTGTCCTACGAAGATAGGTTAAAAGGGAAATCGGCCTGACGACACTGGAGGACAGGAGGGCCAGGGGAGACATGATAACGACATATAAAATACTGAGCAGAATAAACAAGGTAGACAAAGACGGGATGTTCCAGAGATGGAACACAGAAACAAGGGGTCACAATTGGAAGTTGAAGACTCAGATGAATCAAAGGGATGTTAGGAAGTATTTCTTCAGTCATAGAGTTGTCAGGAAGTGGAATAGCCTAGAAAGTGATGTAGTGGAGGCGGGAACCATACATAGTTTTAAGACGAGGTTTGATGAAGCTCATGGAGCGGGGAGAGAGAGGACCTAGTAGCAATCGGTGAAGAGGCGGGGCCAGGAGCTATGACTCAACCCATGCAACCACAAATAGGTGAGTACACACACACGCACACACACACACACACACACAGTTCAGACATTTGAGACATCACATATGAAAGGTTTCTCGGAGCTAGTGATCATGTGATCCTGAATTTCGAATGCATAGTAGAATTAACAGTGGAAAGTGAAGCAGCACGAGAAGGACGGGAGAAGCCTATAATCAAATAAGGGAAGTACACAGGTATAAGGCAACTCCTGCATGAAGTACAAAGGGAAAGAGGTAAAAGGAAAGGCAGTAAATGAAATTATGGAACATGTGAACACAAAGTGCAGGGAGGCAGAGGACAAGTTCGTACCAAGAGGCAACAGAAACAATGGAAAGACCAGAGTGAGCCCATGGTTTACTCAGAGGTATGGAGAGGCAAAGCAAGTGTGCTAGAGCATGGAAAATGTATAAGCAAAGTGCACAGGAAAACAAGAAGCTGAGCAGAAGAGCCATAAACGAATATGCATTGGTAAGGAGAGAGGCTCAGTGGCAATATTAGAATGACAGCATCAAAAGTCAAATCTGACCGAAAGTTATTATACAGCTGCATCAGGAGAAAAACAACAGTGAAGGACCAGGTAATCACGCTGAGGAAGGAAGGGGAGGAGCTCACAGGGAGCGCCCAGGAAGTATGTTTAGAGCTTAGCACAAGATTAAGGAAGATATTCACAGTGGAGGCAGAAAGGGTTGCAGCAAACCGAGACGGTAGGGAACACCAACAAAGGCTGGACACACTGCACACAAACAAGGAGGAGGTAAAGAAACTGCTATGTGAAATAGATACCGCAAAAGCGGCATCTATCTCACCTAGCCCAGATAACATCTCTCTATGTGTTATGAGAGAGCAAGCAACAGGGCAACTGCCTCAGGTGTGAAAGACAACAAACGTAGTCCCATTTTTTAAGAAAGGAGACAAACAGGTAGCATTAAACTACAGACCAGTGTCCCTAACATGTATAGTATGTAAAGTCATGGAGAAGATTATCAGGACATACATGACTACAAGGTAACAGAAGTAAGACAGGATGTGAGGAATGATTAGACTGCATTTTCTTGGGCTATAAGTATACTTTCGACACATTACCACACAAGAGAGTCTTTAAAAAACTACAGGAATCACACGAATAGCAGGAAAAGCACTCTAAATGATCAGGGAATACCTAACAGGAAGGAAACAATATGTGTTGGTACGTGACGAGGTGTTAGAGCAGGTGCATGTGTCGTGTGGGGTTCCACAAGGGTCAGTCCAAGGTCTGGTGCTATTTCTTGTATATGTGAATGACATAACGGAAGAGATAGAGTCAGAGGTGTTCTTGTTCGCAGATGATGTGGAACTAATGAGGAGAATAAAAGCGGACAAAGATCAGATAAATCTACAAGGGAACCTTCAAAGGATGCAAGCATGGTCCGGTAAATGGCTCCTGGAGTTAAACCCCATCAAGTGCAACGTCATGAAGCTTGGAGAAGGACAAAGAAGACTGCAGATGTACTACAACTTAGGGGTGTCAAAGGCTACAAAACTTACTCATGAAAAAGGATCTTGGGGAGAGCATCATACCGAGCACATCTTCTGACGCGCACATCAACAAAAATAAGACATATATGTAAGGAGTCATTCACGACGCTGTACTCCGTGTACGTCATGCTCCATACAGGAGTATGCAGGACCAGTATTTAAGAAACACCTGGTTGACCAGGTGTGGGTTCCATTCTCGTCAAGAAAATGGAGAAAGTGCAGAGATCTGCAACAAGATTAGTCCTGGAGCTGAGGAGTATGCCCTACGAGGAGAAGTTGAGGAAGCTCAACCTGACGACACTGGAGGACAGGAGGGATAGGGATGATATGACAGTGACATACAAAATTCTGAGAGGAATTGACAAGGCAGACAGAGACAGAATGCTTCAGAGATTGAGCAAAGCAACAAGAGGTCACAACTGGAAGTTGAAAACTCGGATGAATCACAGGGATGTTAGGAGGTATTTCTTCAGTCATAGAGTTGTCAGGAAGTGGAGCAATCTGGAGAGTGATGTAGTGGAGGCAGGATGCATTCATAATTTTAAGAGGAGCTACGATAAAATTCATGGAGCAGGGAGAGAGTGGACTTAGTGGCGACCAACGAAGAGGCGGGACCTCTTCGCTGGCCGAAGAGCCGAAGACTCAGGGAATCAGAGGAAGATGGGCCTGGAAAGGAAGAATGAATGGAAGAGCAAAGTAAAAGGATGGAACAAGAGTGGAAAAGCAAACTAAGCGAGCTTTCCGCGAAAATGGAGAAGAGGCTGGAGGCAGAGAAGAAGAAATCGGAGGTGGGTAGGTACACACACACACACACACACACACACACACACAACACACACACACACATACATACCTACGTTTAGTATTTTACAGACAATGAAAAAGAGTTAAGTACTTACTGTCGCAACACATACAGTCAGGTCCATCACATGTGTAATTTGCTATAGGTTGGAAGCATAATCTACGGTCCCTGCACTCCCCAGGACAACTTGCAACGTTTCTACATGTTGCTAGACGTGAGGTGCAACACTTGCAACCACTTTCCTTGCAGCCCCTGTGTAAATGACGCTCCTCTCTGCCACATCTTTCCCTGCACACTCCATAACCATCATCACAAAATGGCTGGGCACTGCACCCTGAGAAAAATGTATTACCATTCAGATATTAATACATTAAAATGGTATAAAATACCGACAGATTGTTAGGTAAGACACATATGCAACAGTTAGGTATCTTTATTTCGAAACGTTTCGCCTACACAGTAGGCTTCTTCAGTCGAGTACAGAAAAGTTGATAGAAGCAGAAGATACTTGAAGACGATGTAATCAGTCCATCACCCTTAAAGTTTTGAGGTGGTCAGTCCCTCAGTCTGGAGAAGAGCATTGTTCCATAGTATGAAACAATATGAAGTTGAAGTGACAGAAAGATACCTAAAGATACCTAACTGTTGCATATGTGTCTTACCTAACAGATATTAATACAGCATGAAAAGATTCCATGACTCTTTAGCATACTCCATTATCATTTATTGATGACTTTCTATCCACTGCCTTATTTATAGCATACTCCATTATCATTTATTGATAACTTTCCATTCACCGCCTTATTTATAGCATGCTCCATTATCATTTATTGATAACTTTCTATCCACCGCCTTATTTATCGACGCATAAGAAATAAAAAAAGGACATAAAACATCGTAGTAAATGTTGAGATTGTTCAGTTTGTCATCAAGACTACGACTACCACAATATTCTGCGAGTCATGTCAAGGTGACTTTATTAGAGAAATATATCTGTAATAGCCATAGTAACAGTGTAAGTGAATACCCACATTTCTCTTTGAAAAACTTATTCTCATATGATAACCTTGTCAACATATTGATAAATAAGGCACTTGTGCAACATTTGATTATCTTTAATCTGAGAATTCTCCAGCCAGCGGCTTCTTCACTACTATGCAGGAAACTGTGGTTTTTTTTACTGGTGGGTTTTGCTACTGACAACTTCACCTACAACTTCTCCACCTCATCTGTCTGCAGCATATAAGCTCCGTCTCAGTGAATATGCTGTACTTTTTTCACGATTGATGAACTGAACACATCGACACAAGGCTGAAGAACTGGTTATCACAAATTCCTCATCTTCCACCGTTTTCTGCACTGGACTCAAGAAACCACTGGATGGCGAAACGGTTCCAGAATGAAGATACCCATGTGTTGCTGAAGTGTCTCATTTAATAACTTGTCAGTTTTCTAAGCCATTTATTCAAATTCTTGTCAACATATGAGGAATATCTTATTGCAAAGTTATTCATCATCTTACTGTACAAGGCGTCTTATTCATCACATAGTTATATGTATTTTAGAAGCGTTTTCTGATGGGACCGTGGCTGGCTAACCTCTCGCTTCACACGCTGAGGGTCCGGGTTTGATTCCCGGCTGGGTGAAAACATTTCGACACGTTTTCTTACACCAGTTGCCCTGTTCACCTAGCAAGTAGTACCTGGGTGTTAGCCGACTGGTGTGGGTCGCATCCTGGGGGACAATACTGAATACTCAAACAGAAATAAGACAGACAGTCCCTCGATAACGCACTAACTTTCTTCGATTATCTTGGGTGGCTAACCCTCCAGGGTTAAAAATCGCATCTCTTAAATATTCTTGTATTAGAACGTTGTATATATAACTTCCACATCTCTTATACAAGATATTTTTAATATATATTTTGACATGACTCAAGAAATCGTAATGACACGATTGCAAATAAACCGCGGGTTCAATCCCGGCCGGGGGTATGGTTGATATATTTTGAAATTTTTTCAGTAATTAGAGCGAAGAAATATTTTGATTAAAATATCAGTCAATATATTCATTGTTTAATAAAAAAAAATCATTGCAACTCCGAGTAACTGGTATATGGTACCTGGTATTAGTCATAATGTTTAATAAATCCTCCCATAGTCGAAGTATGAAAGATATTTGTATAAATAAGAACATAAGAACATAAGAACGAAGGAACACTGCAGAAGGCCTACTGGCCCATGCGAGGCAGGTCCAAGTCTCCTACCTGCTTAAGCCAATGCACCCAACCTAGTCAGGTCAGGTCACATTGACTTAAGGGAGGAACACGGCAACCGACCTGGTAGCACAAGCTATCAGGTCCAACTCACACCCACCCACGTCCACTCATGTATTTATCCAACCTATTTTTAAAGCTACACAACGTTCTGGCCTCTATAACGGTACTTGGGAGTTTGTTCCACTCATCCACAACTCTATTACCAAACCAGTACTTTCCTATATCCTTCCTGAATCTGAATTTTTCCAACTTAAAACCATTGCTGCGAGTCCTGTCTAGGCTAGATATTTTCAGCACACTATTTACATCCCCTTTATTTATTCCTGTCTTCCATTTATACACCTCAATCATATCCCCCCTAATTCTACGTCTTTCTAGAGAGTGCAGATTCAGGGCCCTTAGTCTATCCTCATAGGGAAGGTTTCTGATACATGGGATCAACTTTGTCATCCTCCTTTGTACATTTTCCAGAAAATTTATATCCATTCTGTAATACGGTGACCAAAACTGAGAAGCATAATCTAAATGAGGCCTAACCAAGGATGTATAGAGTTGAAGAACAACCTGAGGACTCCTATTATTTATGCTTCTTGATATGAAGCCAAGGATTCTATTAGCTTTATTGCGAACACTTATGCACTGTTGTCTTGGTTTCAGATTACTGCTAACCAGAACTCCTAAATCTTTTTCGCAATCCGTAATATTAAGATCTACATTATTTAGTTTATATGTGGCATGGTTATTGTCCTGTCCAACATTTAGAACTTTGCATTTGTCTATATTAAACTGCATCTGCCACTTCTCCGACCACTGCATCAGTCTATTCAAATCTTCCTGGAGTGCTCGAATGTCCTCGTCAGAATGAATTCGACGGCCTATTTTGGTGTCATCGGCAAATTTGCCGATGTCGCTCTTTATGCCCTCATCTATGTCGTTTATATAGATTGTGAACAGCAGGGGACCCAACACTGACCCCAGTGGAACACCGCTCGTGACGCTTCCCCACTCTGATTTCTCCCCATTTATGCAAACTCTCTGCTGCCTATTTGTCAACCATGCCTCTATCCAGGAAAAAATTTCTCCTCCTATTCCATGTGCTTTAATTTTCCTCAATAGTCTCTGATGTGGGACCCTCTCAAAAGCCTTACTGAAGTCCATATACACAATTTCATATTCATTACCATGATCTACCTCCTCAAATACCTTAGTGAAAAAAGTTAATAAATTCGTAAGGCATGAACGCCCCTTTGTAAAACCATGCTGAGATTCGTTGATTAATTTATGCTTTTCAAGGTGGCTACGAACTGCCTCGGCAATTATTGATTCCATAAATTTTCCCACTATGGAGGTTAGGCTTATTGGTCTATAGTTTGAAGCTAAGGACCTGTCACCTGTTTTGAAAATAGGTATCACATTTGCCATTTTCCACTTATCTGGCACCATGCCAGTTTGTAGTGATATGTTGAAAAGATTAGCCAAAGGTGTGCTAAGCTCCTCTTTACATTCCTTTAGAACCCTTGCATACAGTTCATCAGGGCCTGGGGATTTGTTAGGTTTTAATTTATCTATTTGCCTAAGGACCATGTCACTTGTGACCCTAATCGTGCACAGTTTATTATCGTCCTGTTCTACATAATTTATCATTACTGAAATATCGCTGGTATCCTCTTGTGTAAAAACTGAGAGGAAGTATGTGTTAAAAATTCTACACATTTCCTTATCACTGTCAGTGAGCTGACCCGAGGAACTTTTGAGTGGGCCTATCTTGTCCCTGATCTTACTTCTGTATACCTGAAAGAATCCTTTCGGGTTAGTCTTCGATTGTCTTGCAACTTTAACCTCATAATCTCTTTTTGCTTTTCTAATTCCCTTTTTTATTTCTCTCTTTAACTGAATATATTGATTTCTTAATTGCCCCTCTCCTCTTTTGATTTGCCTATATATGCCTCTCTTTTGACCAATCAGATATTTTAATCTATTGTTCATCCATTTAGGATCATTTTTGTTTGATCTGATTTTCCTATTTGGAACATAATTTGACTGAGCAGCTAGAACTATGCCCTGGAAAGCATCATATCGGCAACCATCACCACCTACCTGACCCTTAGTCAGGTCATTCCAGTTCAGCCTACCTAAGTAATTTTTCAGTCCTATGAAATCAGCCAAGCGAAAGTCAGGGACGGAGACTTGATTGCCATTATTAGGGGAATTCCATGATATATTAAAACTGAGTGATTTGTGATCACTTTCCCCAAGCTCATCATTAACCTCAAGATTATTAATTAGTGTTTCCCTACTGGCAAGAACCAAGTCAAGGAGGTTATTTCCCCTAGTTGGCTCTGTCACAAACTGTTTTAAAAAACAATCCTGGATCGTATCAAGAAAGTCACCTGACTCTAAATTTCCTGTCAAATTGCTCCAGTCAATCTCTAGGATAACATTAGGAGAAGATGACTGATCTTTTTCACAGTTTTATAATGTTTATTGATGGTCTAAAACTGTGCACTGTATATAATTTAAAAATAAATCAATAATGGAACCAATATAAGAACGACACAGATATGTGTTTCTTATTTTCAACAATATAAAGTAACTCATTACTTACTGTCACAACACACACAGCCAGGCTCTACACAACACTGTTGTTCCAAAGGATTTGTACACATTCTGTAGTCCACACAGGTACCGACATTGTCATCATAGGTTGTGCAGTTTTCCGTGCAGGTGCCCAGAGAACGCTGATAGAAGGTACAGTTGTTAGTGCAGACTACGCGAGTATTATTAAGGGTAGTGCAACTCGCTAAGCGTGTTGTGCAACACTTGCAAGCGGTGTGACCACAATCATCATGAATCTCACGCTCCATGCTATGGCAGAATTCTCTGCACACTCCATACCCGTTGTCACAGAAAGGTTTGGCATTGCATTCTGAGGGAGAAAGATATGTAATAAATGGGACGTTTCACAAGCAGTTGTGACAGGAATGAATTACTGTTTAGGGAAATCTTCACAATTTGGAACATGCTTCATATTTTTGTGCCTCTGTCTAGCACTAATTCTTAGCTACCAAATACATCACCGCAGGTATCACCCACACCATCTATGAACAAAACACGTCATTTTTTGTTTCTCAGTATTTTGAATGCTTCCTTCTCCTGTATTTTCGTAATTTCAGTATGTTTCTGAAGAATAATTCTCATAAAATGATCAAAGGGGTAATCTATCATGTCAAGGAGTCTATTTGGTAAAAGAGATTTGGGCAAAACTTGTTCATTCAGTTTTTTTTTTTAATTAAGTCGAATTTTTAAATTGTGGACTTGATCAGTGCATAAGAAAACTGAGAAACAAAAGATACATGATTAGGAAAGCTTACTGAGAGCATTCTGAAGAGTCGTGTGGTATTCATTAATGCAATAAGATCACAGTAAACAGGTGATATCAGAAAATGAAAAACAACATAGATTTAGTTGATAAATTAAGCTCCCTGACTGATTTAAATTATTTTAACATGGTTAGTTTTGATGTTACTTCCTTGTTTACAAAAGTTCCAGTTGATGATTTATTAAGTGTCTTATCTGAAGATCTTGTTAATTACGATTTACCATTGCCAGTTTCTACTATCATTAAACTTATTAAACTTTGCATTGCTGATGCAAAATTTGTATTTAATGATAAGTTTTATATTCAGAAGTTTGGTATGGCAATGGGGAATCCTCTTTCACCTGTTCTTAGTAACCTATATATGGATTTTTTTGAAACAAGACTCCTTAATGCAATCTTCCCTAATATAGCTAAATAGTTCAGATATGTTGATATTTTATGTCTTATGCCTAAGAATGTAGATATAAACCATTTCCTTGTTAAATTAAATAGCTTAGCCCATTCTATAAAATTTACTGTTGAGTTTGAGGAAAATAACTTATTGCCTTTTCAAGATGTTTTAATTATCAAGGGTAATAATGACTTCAAATTTAAAATTTACAGAAAACCTACAAATAACTGTTCCTTTGTCCACTATTATTCTTCCCATCAAGATAGAGTTTAACTGTCGGTTTTCTCATCAATGTTTTTGAGAGCTTTACGTATTCGTAGTCCAGAGTTCATAGATGAAGAAATATCCAAAATTTATGAAATAGCCAATGATCTGAAATACCCAAGAAACGTAATTGATAAATCTTTTAAAATTGCTAGAAATACTTTTTACAATCCAAAAAGGGACAACCAGCCTTATTCAACTAAAAATATGTTGGTTCTCCCTTACCATGAAAACTTGGTTGATATGCCTTCTCTTCTTAAGACTTTTAATATTAAAGTTGTATTTAAAAATCTTGATACGGTAAAAAAAAAAAAAAAAAACTTTTGATAAAGAATTCCCCTCAAAATGCTGACGGATGTCTATAAGATTCCTTGTAAAATTTGCGAAAAATTTTATTACGGTCAAACTGGTAAAAGTCTCGAACTAAGATTAAAACAACATAAAGATAGCATTAGAATTGGGCAAGATTCTAATGCTCTATTTATTAATGTGAGAGATTTTAACCATTCATTTAATTTTCAAAACGCTGAGAAAGTTGTATCAAGCAAGTCCATGGTTGACAGGAATATAATTGAATATAATTGAATCATGTTTCAAGCATGGATTCAAGCAATTTTTATATCAGTGCACCACGCAGAAACAAGCGGGTATATACAAAGAAAGATCGCAGACTGAAATAGCTTGAATCCATGTTAGAGGCTTACTGACGTGCCCGGGCTGGGAAAAAAACATGGCATTTGATAACCAGGCTCTCAGATCATGTGATTTGAGAAAAGCCGAGTGGACATAAACGCTGCCGGGATCTTGACCCCCTAAGTAGAGTTTCAAAAAAAAGACTGTGTGATCTATTTATATATTACTTTATAGAATTATATATATAATACATTATAAAACTTTTATAATATAACACTCAAACAAAACATGTGATTTCAAAAATATATATCATTAACACACGGCCGTCCTCCCACCAAGGCAGAGTGGCCTAAAAAAAAGATAAAACTTTTACCATCGTTCCACATCCCATCACTGTCTAAAGCATGCTCTCTCTACACACCTACAGTCATATAAAACTGCAACATTAACACCCCTCCTTCGAGTGCAGACACTGTACTTCCATCGTCCAGACTCAAGCCCTCCGTCCAACCAATTTCCTGAATCCCTTCATAAATGTTACTTTGCTCACACTCCAACAGCCCATCAAATCCTAAAAACTATTTGTCTCCATTTGCTCCTATCTAACATGCTCATGCATGCTTGATGGAAGTCCAAGCCCCTCCCACTCAAAACCTCCTTTACCTCCTCCCTCTAACCCTTCCTAGGCCAAAATTTACCCCACCTTCCTTCCAATACAGATTTATACACTCTCGAAGTCATTTTATTTTGTTACAGCCTCTACACATGCCCGAAGCACCTCAACAACCCCTCCTCAGCCCTCTGGATAATAATTTTGGTAATCCCACACATCCTCCTAATTTCCAAACCACGAATTCTCTGCATTATATTCATACTACACATTGCTGTCAGATATGACAATCTTCTGCCTCCAGCCTTCTCCTTGTTGCAACATTCAACACCCATGCTTCACACCCATATAAGAGCGTTGGTATAACTATACTCTCATACATTCTCCTCTTTGCTTCCATGGACAAAGTTCTTTGTCTCCTCAGACTCCTCAGTGCACCACTCACCTTTTTCCAATCATCATTTCTATGACTCACCTCATCTTTCATAGACCCATCTGCTGACACGTCCACTCCTAAACATCTGAAAACATTCACCTCCTCCATACTCTCTCCCTCCAGTCTGATATCCAATCTTAAGTCACCTAATTTATTTGTTATCATCTTACTCTTTCCTATATTCACTTTTAATTTTCTTCTTTTACATAATCTACCAAACTCATCCACCACTCTCTGCAACTTTTCTTCAGAATCTCCCAATTGTACAGTGTCATCAGCAAAGAGCAACTGTGACAACCCCCACTTTGTGCCAGATTCTTTATCTTTTAACCCCACACCTCTTCCCAACACCCGAACATTCACCTCTAATTCTTGCAATAATAACTCTACCATACACTTTACCAGGTATACTCAACAGACTTATCCCCAATAATTCCTGAACTCTCTTTTGTCCCCTATGACTTTACACAAAGGAACTATGCATGCGCTGCCAATCCATAGGTACCTTACCCTCATCCATACATTTATTAAATAAAAGCACTAATCACTCAAAAACTATATCCCCTCCTGCTTTTAACATTTCTATCTTTATTCCATCAATCCCAGCTACTTTACCCCCTTTCATTTTATCCACTGCCTCACGAACTTTCCCTACACTCACAACTGGTTCTTCCTCACTCCTACAAGTTGTTATTCCTATTTGCTGGCTTATTATTCAGGAGCCTTGTAATAGTTTTAATGTTCAGATGAACGTATCTTTTTATTTGAGTTAAGTAATTTACTTACTGTCACAGCAAGTACAGTCTGGCCCGTCACAGCTGAAGTTGGAGAGTGCAGTGAAGCAGAGTCTTTTGTCTATACAGATGCCAGGACAGTTATCAGAGTCTGGACACTTGGCTTCACGATAGGAACAGCACTTACAACCAGTGTTACCACAGCTTCCATTCACCACACGCTCCTTGCTGTTGCAGGATACTCTGCACACTCCATGCCCGTCATTGCAAAATGGATGAGCATTGCACTCTGTTGAAGAACACAATGTTAAACTCAGTAACAGTACAAAGCTTCAAATTAGTGGCATTTTGACTGAAGACAACGATGACATGAGTACATGAATGTGGGAAAGCGACAAGACAGCCAGACAGCACAACTGGTCACCGTGATATGTGAGCAGTGTGGCAACACTTAAAGTGAAAATGAACCTGCCAGGTTTAATTTTTAGAATGTTTTAAAAATGTAAAAATACGACAGACTATTCCAACCAATATAGGTATATTGCGTCACTGCATCTCAGTATCATTCAATCGAACCCACTTCAACAAATGATGTGCTGGGATGTGCGTAATTCTTTCGAATTACAGAAATGCGAGTAAGAGAAAGTGAAGATTGTGTGTGAAGGGGGACCTGTGAGCCAGACACCTGCCTCAAGGAGACCTGTGAGCCAGACACCCGCCTCAGGGGGACCAGTGAGCCTGTGGAGAAATTTTCTCCAGGAGTGGGGTATCAGCCCCTTTCAGCCCCCTTCAGCCCTGAGGGGCCCAGCCCAGTTACAGCAAGTAACTGATCCCAGATGCAGTACGAGTGTGCGACGATGGTCAAACGACCGCTGCTCCTTGCAGTCCAGTGTTGCAAAGTGTAGTTTAATAAAAGACAGTCCATCTCTTACCTTAGCAGGACAATTAAGGAAAATCCTGCTCCCACTTTATTACCATGGTAAAGATAGTGTACATTGTTGTCTATGCTTAAGATAGCAAGAATCAAGCATTCTGCTTTGCTTCATGGAGGAAGTGGCAAGAAAGCAAAAAGTACTAGGTCAGCTTTTCCTTTATGTGCTAGGGGTAGTGACGGTGTAGGAGGCTGTGGCGTCTTCAGATTACTTTTGACCCTACTGGGAGTCACATTGACGCCGGAATAACCAACAAAGAACACTGATCCGTGTGTTAGTGTGTACAAAGTGTCTCAAAAACATAATAAACACTTACAGAGAAGAATGTTCAGCTTCTCTAGTAAACAGATAGTGAATAAATGAACTAATGTTAATGAACAGTGTAACAACGAGTGTTGCGATCCAACAGAGTGTAGTGCGACATTCTTCAAAGAACACTATTCTTCAATCAACTCAACGGATATCCGGGCATAACTATGGGTCAGATACATATACCCAGGTAAGTGTTCTAACTCGTGATGTACTACTATTGACTGCGCAGTTGAGTCGAAGTTACGAGTTAGTAACTTATAAACCCCGGTGATAAGCGGACCTTTGAGTCCACACACGTAAGTTTGTCAGCAATCAGTGAATGAAATATGCTGACATAACACCCCCTAGGGGCAATTTATAATCTTACAAAATATAATTAATTTCAGCCAGTTGAAAAATGATCAAGACAGCTACTCAAGACCTCGTCTGCAGGGGCGGCTGTGTAGACGATTTGCTGTCTTTTATCAGCTAAGTATTCCCTATATTAATATCTTAGCTGGTAACCCATTTCTCAACAGAGCCAGACACCCGCCTCAAAGGGACCTGTCAGCCAGACACCTGCCTCACTGGGACCTGTGAGCCAAACACCTGCCTCAGTGGGACCTGTGAGCCAGACACCTACCTCAGGGGGACCTGTGAGCCAGACACCCACCTCAGGGGGACCTGTGAGCCAGACACCCACCTCAAGGGGGACCTGTGAGCCAGACATCCGCCTCAGGGGGACCTGTGAGCCAGACACCTACCTCAAGGGGACCTGTGAGCCAGACACCCGCCTCAAGGGGACCTGTGAGCCAGACACCTGCCTCAGGGGGACCTGTGAGCCAGGCACCTACCTCAAGGGGACCTGTGAGCCAGACACCTGCCTCAGGGGGACCTGTGAGCCAGGCACCTACCTCAAGGGGACCTGTGAGCCAGACACCCGCCTCAAGGGGACCTATGAGCCAGACACCCTCCTCAAAGGGTGCTGTTAGCCAGACACCCACCTCAGGGGGACCTGTGAGCCAGACACCCACCTCAAGGGGTGCTGTTAGCCAGACACCCACCTCAGGGGACCTGTGAGCCAGACACTCACCTCAAGGGGTGCTGTTAGCCAGACACCCACCTCAGGGGGTGCTGTTAGCCAGACACCCACCTCAGGGGGACCTGTGAGCCAGACACCCACCTCAAGGGGACCTGTGAGCCAGACACCCGCCTCAGGGGGACCTGTGAGCCAGACACCCACCTCAAGGGGACCTGTGAGCCAGACACCCACCTCAAGGGGACCTGTGATCCAGACACCCACTTCAAGGGGATCTGTGATCCAGACACCCACCTCAAGGGGACCTGTGAGCCAGACACCCACGTCAAGGGGACCTGTGAGCCAGACACTCACCTCAAGGGGTGCTGTTAGCCAGACACCCACCTCAGGGGGACCTGTGAGCAAGACACCCACCTCAAGGGGAGCTATGAGCCAGACACCCGCCTCAAAGGGTGCTGTTAGCCAGACACCCACCTCAGGGGGACCTGTGAGCCAGACACCCACCTCAAGGGGTGCTGTTAGCCAGACACCCACCTCAAGGGGACCTGTGAGCCAGACACCCGCCTCAGGGGGACCTGTGAGCCAGACACCCACCTCAACGGGACCTGTGAGCCAGACACCCACCTCAAGGGGACCTGTGATCCAGACACCCACCTCAAGGGGACCTGTGATCCAGACACCCACCTCAAGGGGACCTGTGAGCCAGACACCCACCTCAAGGGGACCTGTGAGCCAGACACCCACCTCAAGGGAACCTGTGATCCAGACACCCACCTCAAGGGGACCTGTAAGTCAGACACCCACCTCAAGGGGAACTGTAAGCCAGACATCCGCCTCAAGGGGACCTGTGAGCCAGTCACTTGCTTCAAGGGGACCTGTGAGCCAGATATCCGCCTCAAGGGGACCTGTGAGCCAGACACCTGCCTCAAGGGATGTTAAGCCTGCCACTCTTTCCATTATCCTTCTACCAACGCGCGTGTACTAACAAGTGTGCACTCCTGGCTTTGTTGCAGAGTTGGAACCCATTTTCCATGCTCAGTTTTCGAAGGGTAGACCCGAACTTTCACGCAATTAAGCCAAGCCAGGTTACGCCAGCCTCTACCTCAAGTTAAGCCAGCCTGCCCAGGCAAATTTCAACATGCAAATACGTCTGCCCTGCCCCCAGGACAGTTGTGTGTTTTTCTGCAAGTGTCGCAGCTGCCCAGTGCTTTCCTGCATCGAGAAAGCAAAGCAAAACCATCAGAAGCCAGAGTCAGTCACCCAAACCAGCCTACCTCTCTCTGTGATCTGCCAACCAGTGTGTCTGTCTTGCTTGAAGTATCAGCAAATACGCTTGTTAAAGCAAAAAAGAAATCCATGGATGTGGCTTATTTGGATTATCTTGGGTTAATAATCCAGTCTGCTTATTTAGCGTGTTTAGTGTGAGGGAGAGGGGAGACTGCAATGCTCGTTCCCATCAACACCAACTATCACCCTCCCGCTCCTACATGCGACCATCCACAGGTTTGGATAAAGATAAAGATTTTTTTTTTTTGTAAAGATTACAATGTGTAATTACAATTTTGGTTTAGTAAGTACAAAGAAAGTCACTATCATACCTGGGCATTTCGGGCAGAATGGATGTTGAGCGCATGTTTACTTTCACTCGCAGAACCTCCGGTTTCAGGTTCTGTGAGTTGTCAACAAAGCTCGTATTTATCTCAGATTCATCGACTTTTCTGTGAAGTGAAGCTGCTGTGGAGTCTACTACCATCTTGTCCCGCGTGTTGTGTAACTATATCAACTCCCGCTACCCCATAGTAACTCTGCAGCCAAAATGGTTATAACCATGACCATAATTTTTTAAGGGGTGGACCGGGAAGCCAACGGAAGGCCTCGGTCAGATGACCAAATGCTTCAACGGAGGGCCATCATCTGACTAACCCCCGTCAGGAAACACTTGTCCTGTTTCCTGACGACCTTACCTAACATAACGTCTTCTCACCCCTACACTACGATTATCGATCGTGTTTCAATTTATAGACAGTTAATAGCTATTTTATGCTTAACAAGACATTTTGAAGACTATATTAAGACTTACAAGGCTCAGTGAACATTATTAGTGACTCAGTGACTCCTACCTCAGTGTATATTTTCGTATATTTTATAGCTTATGTGTGTCTTTTATTGTACATTTCTTGTCGTATTAAAACAGATTCAAGTACCCATGTCTGAATCACCTGTAATTAGTGTTGTTAGTGTTAATACAAACAACGTAACTTAAGACGCCCACGAGCCACGTCAAAATCCTAGAAGTTCCTTGCCTTCTGACAGACATCAGACGGTTCACAGACCTTATCTTTATTTTCATGAACCTTTAGACACTTTCTACTTTTGATGGATCACCAAGTAACCTTGAAGCTCGGTTCACTACGATACGCAATGCGGTGAATAATGCGTCCGAAGATTCTTTCATTCGACATTCTCAATGTTGGTCAACTCATTAACTCTCGTGACTGTGAAAACTTCAACTCTTGGTCAGAAATAAAAGCACTCCTGCACAGCCATTACTTCCCAGCGACTACATATGACCCTTATTTCTTATTGCACGACTTAGTGCTTACAGTACAACTAAACATAAAACTCTAAACTTTTCGACCCGTTTAGGCAAACTGTCGAACGCATTTGAAGTTTCATTTGAATCTTCACCCTTAGTACGTTAAGGCTGTCGAGAGTATGTCTTTAACGCTGGAAAATTTACTGCCTTCGGTACTACTAGTCAGCTGTTATCTCCTGCTTTACATATATATTCAGCCAACCCACCTTCTGTAGATATGGAGCTGTTAGTGGTTCTGTTCAAGGTAAGAGTATTTTCTCATCCAAGTTCATTTCCACCCAGGTATCCTATACTCCACAATTCTGCTACCTCCACAGCGCAACCTGTGTCTGTGTGGCATCACAAGATCACTCTAACGTTCAGTCTCATTTCTCATATTGGGCTAGTGCAGCGAGTAATCGCTCCAGCTACAGTGCAAAAGTACAAATAGT